AAATTGAACTAGAAGCCAGTCGTCAAGTGATAACAATAACATTTCGCCTTTGTGTAGCATACTCATTGCATTAAAAATTTTGACTAAGAAAAATACAGATAAAGTGATTTTGAGTGGAATAGCCAATATATAATCCGGACTATTTGAACAAAGAGCTTTCTAACAATATGAGATTTGTAGCGTTTGATCACACAATTTACAAGAAATGTTCCGGATAGAAAATAGACAAATGCAAGCATATTAATTATTTACGTATACATACCTTTCTAATTATTTGTTAGTTATAGGAAATAGGCTAGTACACACTCTTGATTTTTTTTCTGTGTTTAATTGTTTTTAAATAAACACCAAGCTACCCAATGGCAATGAGCTATCTGTGCTTTGCCTACCACAGGTATCGAAACTTGGAATTTAACGGTATAAGCCTACAAACTTACCGTTGTGTCACTGGGGGACTTTGAAGATGGACAAAGGTAAATGCTTACTGTCAATTTTTTATCACTAGTTTTACACGAAGCCTATTTGTTGTTCATTATAAAAGTTAACCTTAGAATTATTTAACAATTATCACTATACATTATTTCTGTGTCTTTACTTACAAGATTTCTAACATTATTCGGATGCACGATGTTTACTTTGTTGTTCTAAGCACTTTTACATTAATGAAAAATAAAAACTTTAAATTTTTGCTTCCACATTATGAATTTTAATCTTTTATTTAATGAAATATTGATGTCGTGATAAAATCATTTATAGATTACGTATAATCTGAGGATGGTCTTCAAATGAAATTTGTTTAAAATGTAATGAAATGTAATGTGCTTTCATTATCTTGTTGCTGATTTAAAGTGAAACATGAAAAATCATTCGTACGATTTTGGCCCCGATAAGCTAAGTAAGTCTTTAGGCTTACAACTCTAAACATTGAGCAAAAGACAAATCCCAGACTAGTTAGATTAAATGAATGCAAGCATTTAAAAAAATGATTAATAACTCGTAAATAATATCAGTCTGTTTGTTTGTTTTCTAATTAAGCACAAAGCTACACAATTGATTATATCTAGCGATATAAGCCCGTAGACATACCGCTGTGCCACTGGGGGGCGATATCAGTCTGTTTTTACTCAGTTAGTTTACAAAAACCGCACGTTTAACTTTATGTACCAAGATGTGGTGTAACAAACTCGTGTCACTAACCATATTAATAAGCTATGGGCTATTAACAACTATCGTAATGATTTAACCAAACATAAGTATGTTTTATTAGTTATTCACACCTACCTCTACGTATACTCCTGAAATCGAATTGACCACGTACGCAATTTTAGCAGCTTCAAACGTTTGCTGGTAAATCATATCTATCATAAAATCACTGATATCGTAACCTTCTAGACCACAATGTTCTTCATTCCCTATGTACTTGAGATATTTGTTTAAAGAAATACTAAGATTGCATTTAATGATGTTGGACATCATTTGGAAGAACTGAACCATCATTCCCCACTGATACCGTACTTGTCCAAGTGCCTTCATTCCTTTCAATAATATTTCTTTAATTTGTTCAAAATTGAGTTCTTTTATGTTTATCTTAGCCATATCTGCCAGATCTTCTTTTTGTCTTTTATTGGCGTCGACTAACTTTTCATAAGAAGAAGCATATAATTCTTTCATGTTTTCCAAATGTTTTTGTGCATGCTCTAATCTAAATTCGAAAATTTCGATCTTTCTTTCAATACATTTTCCATTTCCTTTACCGTTCCACATAGCTTGCTTAGGTGGTTTTCTATCCATAGCAGTTGAACCTAAAACTTCTTTAGTTTCTGAGACAAATGCCATTGCTTCATCATTTACTTCTCGTATTCTCTCAACTATCAGTTTTGTTTCGTTAACCTGAAAATTATTTTTAATCTCTTTGATATCTTTACAGATACCGATAAATTTGTCACATATATGTATAGCTTTCATTTCCATTAACGATGTACTTTCAGTTCTGATTTCTTCACAAATTTTGTTGGAATACGTATCAACATAGATCTCATCGTTATCATTTCGAAGTTTCACTTCATCTAATGAATCATCATCACGGACCAAAGACTGTAACATCTGGGCAAGATAATGAATAGTTTCTGCTTTAGAACAAGCCTTGTTAGTGCTTTTCTTTGTGGCCTTATCAATTTCAAATTCACTTGATTTTAACAGTCTTTTCGCAAGGTTATTTTCTTCTTCTTCTACTTTCATTTTTTCAGTTTCTTTTCTACTGAATTTGGAAAATAATCCAGATATCAAGTTCTTCACACCATTTGAAATACTTTCTACAAACGACATAGCATTTAATTCCTTCTCTTTTGGAAACGATTTTACAACTTCTTGAAAATATTTTTCTGCTGATTCAATTTCTTTTTTAATATTTTCTAACTCATCTTTGGCAAAAGAACGTTCTTCCTCAACAGCTATTCTATTATGTTTGATGACTTCTAATTGTACTTTTGTTTCATGAAGGTCATGTTCATAAGTCCTTTTGCTAAATGTACAAGCTTCCAAAATCTCTCCTGTTAAATTCATGACATCCGTAAATTTTTCTTCTGTGCTTTTAGCCAAGTCTAGACATTTATCTGCAATATCTTTAATCCCTTCCAAAGGAATGGGTAGAAAGTTTTTAATGTCTTTACTAGTACCTTTCATAAGTATTTTGACGGATTCTTCTAAATATACGGGGACATTGGCAGAATGTAAGCGAATTTGGTCCATGTTTTTGTGTGCCTCGTTAAAAGCATCCCATCCAGCATTACTGACTTGGACCAAAGAAGCACAAAAAGAAGATGGATATCGCATATATTGAAACCCATTTTCCGGTTTAGCTTTCTCAAGACTGAAATCTGTGTCGTTAGTTATGAACATTAGTTCTCCTAAAAGCGCAATAGACATTGGAGCAGGAATTAAGTAGTGTTCCCAGTTGATGTGAGGAATCGTGTCGAGAAACATATCTTCTTTGATATCTTCTTCTCTAGTAACAGATGTGACTCGTTCAGTCAGCCAAGCAATACTATCTTCCTCTCCAGTTGCCATTAATAAAGAAACTGAAATGACAAAAAAAGAAAAGAAAAACTTCATTTACTAAAACAATATTTGGATTCGTCACATACTTTACAAATAGATAATAATACTGTTGGAACAACAAAGATTTACAGTTGATGAGTATATTTGATTCTTTAACACTGCTCTGGTCTGTTTTAAATCTACCATTAACTTATTTCTCAAGAGACACTAAATTTTGAAAAACTTAAAGAAATCACCAGTTTTGCTTAATTTGAAGAATTTCACGCAAAAATCCTCGCGGTTTTTCTGTGCTAGCTTTCTATATTTTATAAATGGCAGATTAGATGGAAGCCAGCAAGTCAGCACTATCTCACGTCAACTCTTAGGCTATTCTATAATAACGAAAAGTAAGATTAACCATCACATTATACTACCCCCACGACCGAAAGGATAGGAATGTTTTTGACAGAATTCGAACCTAAGGCACTCAGACTGCAAGGTTAACACCCTAACTACCAGGCTTTGGTGAAAATGAAATAGAAATTTGATACATTTGAAACATATCTTCAACTGTTGAAAATGACGACCTTTATTTACTTTTTCTCTTTCCTTAACATTCTTTTTTGATTCACAACATTTCTTAATTAAATTTGTTTGGTTAAATTATTCCTTGATAAAATCGATATATAAATTTATTATCAAATCATGGCAAAAATATAAACTGTTATAATGTTACAGACTTGTAAAATGATGTGTACGCTGATTAAGTGTTACAAAGTGGCTGAACGCTAAGTTTGAAGACTTATAACACAAAAAATCAGGTTTCGATATTCACAGAGGGCAAAGTATACATTTCCCATTCTGTAGCTTTGTACTTAGCATAAAAACAAACAAGAATAACTATTTTATATTATCATCTTTCCGAAAATATTTTTAATCAGTTAATACATCAGTTTCTTTCATTTCCTAAAACATCCTATCTCATTCAGCTTAACGAAAGATTGGGTACTAAGAACTGCTGTGTCTTCACTGAATCTCCAGTTGCGGACAAACCAATCTAGATGTAATCATGAAGCACGGTTGTTCTTAGTGTTTAGAGATGGGCTGAGAACAAAATGGCTGCCTCATTCTATTACGCTATGATGCTTACAAACAACTACTAAAGTTGAGTTATAGCCTCATTTGGGCACCTAATTGCCACTGTCGAGTATTTCACAGTTTGTGAGACTCCCAATATCATTGAACAGTGTTGCTTAAGTGGAGAACTGGGAACTAGTTAAAGAGCTAAGGAATTCGTCTTTCTTTTTTCTTTTCCAATGCTAGCCAAAAAAATATGTGAAGTTTTCGCAATGACTTTTGTATGACAGAAAAGCATTTTAAGAGTATTTGATAACAGGCTATCACTATGCATGGTAGTACTTAGTACTGGCTTTTACTGCCAGGCTTATATACTAACGAAGAGGGCATCTCGAAGACACTCGGACTTCCCCGATCATTCGAGAAACTCATCTTGCACCTACCAACGCCAATGCGCCAGAAGCGTCACGTGACATCCGCTGTCCTAACGGTATTTTGCACCAGAAGCAGTAATACTAATAGGAACAAGCAATACAAACATACACATATTAAGTAAGTTGCAGCTCTAGTTGTTAAATGAGTAAAAGTATTTATTACCTAAACATAATCAATTTATAATTTAGCATATGTGGTTGTAAAACTTGTATAAACGTTGCCATTTTAATTTAATGGGTCTCATATTATCGTAACTCATACAGCTTTTAAATTTAAGTTAGTCTTTTGTTTACATCCATAAAAGCCAATTAAAAAGTTTATTACTAAAAGTAGTCAGAACTCTACACGAGGATAAAAATGCAAACCTAATTTTTATTGAACATAACTTAAATTCATATGAGTTAATAAATTACTTATGTGATACTAATAATGTAAAAACCTCAAGAACTTACAAAATTCCCGCTTATTCAACTCAGACAGGGAAACTTGAACTGTCGAACTGTGGCTCTAACAGCGCCTGTAGATTACATCAAGACGCGATATAGATGATACTTTGTACAGGAGAAACCCACTGGCTTCACGATATATTTAAACAACGGATGTAGTTATGTCATTGGTGGAAAGCCTTAAACCGTAAAGTCTAAGGGGCTGTTATGGTAATTCACTCTAGATGTAATTATAACAGTTCATGTCAACTTAGGTAAATGTATTCACATTTAAGAATGTAGAAAATACTATCAAATAAAGAATTATTTATTATTTAAATATTTTTAGATTATTCAACTCATACTTGTTTGTTACTCATCCTGAAACGTTATTATTTTGTTTTCCCTGGCTCCAGGATGAGGAAGTTCTCTTCAAAAACTCTTCGCCAATCACGTTCCACGGAGCTGTTCCTTATTGATCTATTTTTGTTTTGTTGTTCATATATGTGACATAAAAAAGCATCCGAGAATTTAATTGGACATGGATATTTTTTACCATTATTATTATCATTACCTAGGTCACTAACAGATTTTGTAGAAGCAATGTTCTCACAGAAAAATAATTCCATAGAAAATATACAGGCTGTAGTGGGTTCTTATCGTTATACACACACACACACACACACACATATATATATATATATATCATAGCTTTAGATGCGATATTTACGAATGCCACAAATTATAATTAATAAATTAGGTAAAAATAAAGTGATTTATTTTCTAGTTAAATGGTTTTCATTCCATCGATTAAATTTAAAGCATAATTTGTTGTTATTATTAACTACAATCGCATTTATTGTAGAGATAATTTAGAGACTAAGTTCAACCTATAATGAAATATTCCATAAGGTTACGAAATACGGAA